CGCTTCGGCGAGTTACCGCAGTAATTTGGATTGTGTAGAGGCCAGCCAGCTTTGGAAGTTGGTGGAGTTTCCGTTTTACGGAGTGGCAAGCCGAGTTGCGGCAGTTTTGGAAGTTTGGACCTTCAGTAAAGTGCGTCACTAAGGTGTGGTCGGCGCCGACTTGTGTGTTTTTTTGTGTAATTTTGAATTTTGTTGTTTTTTTTGTGTACCGTATTTGGGATTAGCAGTTTTGGACTTGTACCGAATGTAAGTAAAATTAAGTTTTAATTTTAGTTTTTTTTCTTTGTAGTGTCTCTTGTAATATTTTCATTGTGTGTGGGACAATTAAATTTGAATTTTGTAATTTTCACAATAATTGCTGTGTATGTCATTCGAACGATTTCATTTTAATTTACTGTTTTCTTTGGATACTGGCCCAAGGTCCATTTTAACTAATCAAAATTCTTAAGATCGATTTGGAATTTAAGGTATTTGGTCTAACCCACTGTCTGGTAGAAGTTAATGGTTTAACTGAGAAAAGAGTCGAATTCCTCCTCTGTACTGGGGACAAGTTTTGTTCCGAGGAAGATAAAGGTTTGAGTTAGCTAGGTTTGTTTAGGTGTTTTGTGTACGGTCTTTTTGGTCTACGGGCCGGTGCATACAACATTTTTAATTGGCGCCCAACGTGAGGCCACAGCAATATAGTACCGTTAACCGAAAAAAGTGCCTTAAGAACCGAAATTATGTGCTCGTGTTGTGCCGAGGTATGGTATGTTTGATTTCGAGTTACAACTTTATTAACGCTTATATCCTATGGAGTTCAATTTTACATAATTAATTGTGCTCAATTTGTGCTACTTTGCGCGGGATTGTGAGGGTTGGTATAATACTACTTTTTCAAAATGACTGAAACGTATACTTCCTTACTTGCACTTCTTTTTTTTTCGGCTTCGATCACTTTCTCATAGACCTAAATAGCCGTATCGATAAAGTATCTATCGATCGTCTGAAGCCAGCATGGCCAGGATGACACGTGAATTTCCTCAAAAAGTTTGCCAACTTCCATACTGCTGCGCTGGAGGGGGGATTAATGTGGTGACGCGCCGCTTGCACGTGAGGCAGCAAACTAACGCGTTCTGGCACCTTCATTGGTCAAAATTATCTCTCATTGGAAGAACATTATAAGGAGGTTATGAGAAAACCAAACCTACTAGTTACCCTGACGACGACGACTCAAGACCTGCAGTATCTGAGGATAATCAGAACGCCTCAAAGAAGAAACTCTCAGATGTAACACAATGCCACAGCAGTCCCCAATAGGAGACCAACAAAAATTGTCCGACACCAAAACGGTACCAACGGTTAAAAGTCTCGCCGGACCTCATGAGAGAGGAGGATAAGTGGATGAATCTGCAAACCACCATGACCCAGGAGAAAATTAAGATTGCTCTTACAAAATCTACCGATCAAGGGATCAAAATCTAACCTGCTAATTCCGAGGAGTACTGTAAAATAACTGAGATAATGGAAAACCAGAAAATTCAGTCTGAAAAGAATCTGAGAGTGGTCCTCCAAGGAATCACCACGGACCCCAGGAGAAATTAAGGACGAATTAGTAAATCAACAGCTCGCTACGGAAAATTTGTATACAATGACCAAGCTAACCAATAGTAAACGAAATCCGACAAAGCTGGTCTTGATAATTCTACCGAGGGACCTAAAGTCACTAAATATAGAAAGTACCGCAATCCATTGGGCTCGTGTGTTAGAGAGAGAACGCATGATTTTTGCCCAAAAATGGCGAAAGTTACCAGATTCTAGTAACTTTAATGTTAGGGATTGTTCCACCTGTTTGGAGATATCTGTATATATTTTTATAAAACATGACAGTACTATGAAGTTAGGTTATGAAAAATGACAGCTATTCAGATTTTATTTGTCAATTTTTTTAAGTTGGCAGCAAATTTGCCCAAAAATGGCGGATGATTGCGGTACTTTCTATATCTAGTGACTTTAGAGGGACCAAAAGAAATTTACGAAATAGACATTCTGAGGATCAAGGCAGAGCCACTAAAGTGAAAATCCGAACCAGCCCAATGCCACAGATGCCGGTTATTTGGTCACAACCAACAAATTTGCAAAGCAGAGGCGAGACGCAGGCGTGCATTACACAAACAACTGCAAGAAACCTCGAAACAAACCGGTAAAGTGCTGTAACAGCGGTGGAGAGCACACTGCGAATGCTCGCATTTGCTCTAAAAGACCACCTCCCATTCAAAAGCCACGATTAAAACCACAGAAGACCTTCCCGGGTCGAGATCCAAACAAACCAACCTGGGATGGTCAAAACGTAACCATCACGGGATCCATTACCTCCATCGCCACCATAGCGATGATAGCTTATCCCCTAAGAAGATAGTACTCATCAATTTTATCACAGTACAAAACCTCGACATCATACTTATAAAAGAAACCTGGTTGAAATTCCCTGATCATTTCTCCCTACCGAATTTCACGATCCACAGATATGACCGAAATGGGGGCGTCTGGGGTGGAACCTTGACCACCATTAGAAGCTGCATCGAACATAATTGCCACTCCACCGTTACAGGTGTTGAATGCACCCATATCTCAATTTTATTCAAATTGCATACAGCAGCCCACTCAGATTGATTTCCCATCTACACCTTTCCCTAGGCCGATTTCGATAATGTACTCAATCAACACCAGACCCCCACAGTTCTAGGTGGCTGAAGCAATAGCTAGAAACTTCAACAGAGCGGTTCACACTGGAGCTGTGCTCCTGGATATAGAGAAAGCCTTCGATCAGGTGTGGCACCCAAGGCTTATTCACAAAATGAGAAACCTTGACTCTATCTCGCCCAACCAAAGTAATGCTATCTTGCATCACCGGACGCAGTTTCAGAATAAAAGTTGAAGTTGACCATCAGACTGATCAGAGCACGCGTCCCCCAAGGATCAGCCATTTTTCCTCTACTATGCCACATCTACGCTGCCGATCTACCCACCAGCCGAGATGTAGATTCCCGGACGACATGGGATTACCTCTGGAAGTCATTGTTAATGAACTGCAGCTGCCCCTAAAGGAAATAGAGAGGCGGTGATTCCTTTGGAAGACAAAGATTAATACCGCCAAAACCAAGAATCCTTTTCACCGCCAAGAATCAGGGTTTGTGGTACGACGATCCCCTGGAGGTCCAACATCAAATATCTCGGAGTCATTTTTAATACGAGTAGTCAAGAGAAGACTAGCACAAGGCAGAGCAGTGCTCTTAAAATTACATCCAATAATATGCGGTATAGGTCGGCTGTCCCTCGCCAACAATATCAAGCTTTACAAAACGATAATCAGACCATCACTCACTTATGGAGGGCCTACTTGAAATCAAACTTGTCGCGCCACCTTTAGACAGCTCCTTATGCTCCGTATGTTATGCAATGCGCCATGATTTGTACGGACCGCTCAAATCAGAAGAGATCTCAAGGAAGAATTCAACACTCCGGACTTCTTTGCAAAAGCGGCAACTCACAGTTGGTTAGCAACACCTTAGGCCAACCCCTTATGGAAGAAGGTACCCACAGCCAGGAGATTAGTGTAAACTAATCCAACTGAGATGGCCACGATATTCAAATAATCTACTCATTAGGGAATGAAATCAAGTACCAGAAGCCTGTGTTGGTTTATCATTCAAAAGAAAAGAAATGTTTGTCGAAATCAAAGACAAAATTCTGATATTCATCAAATAAGTCAGCATTGACTTATCCCCTTAGGACCAAAAAATTAAGCAACTGCACTATAATTACGAGTATATTTTGACTTGTACCTACTGGCATTACTGCAATCTGCGCTGCCATATTTGCTGTATACCGAAAAGTTTGGGCCCGTTTCTCAATTTTGTGCATCTCCGGTTTCTAAATCGGAGGCTCAATTTGTCAAATGATAGAAAAGCGTCGGAATAATGGCATAGCAATTCACTCACACACTCTTTATTTCATTTTATCTAAATGCCAAAATCTTCATTATATTTCTCATAATTTTAATTAACGTTTGCTTTTTTGGAAGAATGGAGAGGAGATCTTGTACAAAATATTATTTTTTAGCGACTTCTAAGGGAAGGAAAAGCTTTAGTTTTACACAGATAACATTACCTTCTGTTGTAAGCCCTATAACTGCCTTTGTAAGATAATGTAATGTTAAATATGTTTTATGTTCTCATATGAAAAGGATTTACTTTATATTTGCATGAAAATTTAGGTCTTACCTGGAAACGAAACATAGGGTAGTCTCTACTTAATTAAGATAAATCCAGACACGTATAAATGAGTGACCAAAATTGAGAAAGAAAAACAATATACCCATAAATCGTATTGATAAACAAAATGGTAGATAGCAATTCGGATGTTTCTCGTTGAGTTTATTGGAATGGATCAATATATCACCCCGGGGGTTTGAAAGTGGAACTGTTACATATTGCTGCAACGGTAATTACCAGAAACCACTTTGTCGCCGTCGGCTTTCGGCTTGTAAAAAAAATTCATAAATCTTAAATTCCCTCCCCGAATATACTTACCAATTTAATTCATTCCGTATATATAGAGAGAGAGAGAATCCTCTGGCATTATTTTCGCGAAACTGTTAACATGATAAACGATGCTGGAAAACAATCGAATGAAACTGGGAAAGTTTGGTGTGTGCGGGTGCACTAAAACAATTAATTTCGAACTTCGAAATTTTACTTATGGCCTTTTTGTACGAACTCAATAACCGTTCCCCGAATTCTACGTATAAAAACGAATTTGTATACAATATCGTTTAGCATTTTTCGCATAAAATAAGAGTAAACAGAAGGGAATACGGTAGGAATGGAAAGAAGCAGCGAAGTGGAAGGCTATAAATTGGTGACTGAAGATAAATGCGATCTACGAAAGGAAATATTTCCAGAACGAATATTAAGCATACAAAAATAAGGCAAATAAATAAAAGTCGATTTACAATGTCCTCCAATTCATTGTTCTTTATTCCATACAAGTATTTACAAAAACGAAAGGTAACGTGTTCTACCATTTAATCTACTGAGTCAGTCCATATTAATAATAATAACAACTTTAACCGATCAATGCTCATCCAGGATTCGAAGTGGATTCGCCGCTTTCACCTTCGTAACCTTCATCGGGGCTTTCAGTTAATACCTCGTGAATTTTAACATTGTGCAAGGATTTATTGACAGGCTTCGAACTGGATTTCGAACTTTCACTTTCAGTCTGCGCACCGACACACCGTTTCGTTATCTCCTTAGTCATATAAGGGCACGTTCCCGTATTTACCAAGTTTGAGGCGGGCACACAGTGAGGCCACTGAACTAAAGGTGGAGGCGCACAACAAGATTTAGATGGAGAAGCGCGATACTCGGATGGCGATCCCGGTTTTGCTGTACATATTTGATACCCATCTGCCGTATATCTCACGCCGGGACAGTAATGTTCGTATGAGGGAGGATGGGATCGAGATAAAAACTCGACTTCACGCGAATAGCGGGCCGATGATTGTCTATTTGCGCGATTGTGTGGTAATGTCCTATAGAAACTAACTCGTGTATCTTCAGTGCCGAGGAGACCAATTGGATTAAGATGTACGTCAGCGGGGAGACTATAAAATTCCCGATTGCTCAGTCCCGATTCTAGCCTGGGACGCAATTCAAAATCTGTAATTGTGTTTTCTGTAACTTTTCCGTAGCCGCCTCTCGTCTGGTCTTTAATATCCCCCTCGCGTTGCCGTTCTACGCTTTCCGTGTCGTTAATAAGGTCAGGATTTTGCTCGAGCTGGAAACGTTTCAGCGAAGTGGGACTTTTAGGCGGATTGCAAGTTACAACTGGAGATATCGTCATCTCATCTGTAATGTGGGGCGCTGCATGCATTACCATCATCTCGTGGTGGCGATCGACTACGATCAAGTTTGTGTTCTCTTTGAGCGGCTCCGAGTAATCTTCTGAGCTGTCTTGGAAAAGCGAATCTTTCGTTGAGTTATTGAGCGTGGCAATTTTCGATTTTTTTCGCTTGCTCCTATGCGCCGTGCATTTAATTACGTAAAATACTGCAAGAAGGATCGTGATTACTGCGAAGACAGCCGCGGCGGATATTAAAATTAGTAGGTATTCAAACGAAAAGGGCACAACAACGACGGAAACAGGTTCTTGTTTAATCACGACTCGCAGTGTAAAATTTGATTGCATGGCTCCGGCGCTGTTCTCGGCAGTACAGACAAAAGTTCCGTTGTCTTCAACGTTAGTGTTATAAATGAAAAGCTCGCTACGTTTATCTTCCATTCCGTCCTCAATAAAATAAATTAGGTGCAGACCTGGAGCGACTATAGTGTCATTTTGTAACACACGTCCTTGAAATAGCCAGGAAACTCGAGCTTCTGGAATGGCCCGGACGTGACAGAGCAGGGATACATTTTTACCTTCGCCGATTTCCAAATAAAATGTTGTCGGTGAAACATCGGGCAAACACGCCAGATCAGAATCAGCAACGGATCTTACAGTCTGTCCTGAAAGACGCGAGGGTCCGCTGCATACGGGTTCGACATTATGAGGCATATTAAACTCAAACAGCCACAAATGAAGCTCCACTAAATGGCAATCACACTCCCAAGCGTTTCCCTGCAGTTCGATGCCACGTAATGACTTTGGAAGAATGCGAAGCGACCTTAAAGTGGTCAGCTTATTACCGTCGAGACGTAGCCACTCCAGGCTGGTGAGTCCTAGAAATGCTCCTTCTTCAACGTAAGATATTTCACAGTCCCCTATTTCGAGGGTGTTCAGGTAAGACAAGTGGTTAAACGCCGCCCTCCGTATGGTTTTAATAGGATTAGCGTTCAGGGTGAGCTTCATTAATGAAGGACAATCTATGAACGTTTCGGATGGAACTGATACTAACAAATTGCCGGACAAATCTAATTCAACAAGGTTGGTTAATCCCTTAAACGTCCGGTCTTCTATGGTTGATATTCTACAACGCGATAGATATATCCTTTGTAAATTAATTAAATCCATCCTTAGAAACTTCTCTTTGGCCAACGATTGTAGATTGTTACTTGAGAAATTCAATACTTGCGTTCCTGGATCTATGCCCTTAGGAATTGCGAGTAGCCCCCTTTTGTCACACTCTACAGTCTGTTTACCGTTCTTCCACTTACACATGCATACACTTGGGCACGCTTGACATAATTCAAAAAGGAACACGAAACATAAAATCAATACTGGTTTTCCACTAGACATATTGCATCAGAAGGCCTCGTTATAAATATACTGCCCGAGGGTCGAAGTGGACGCCATCATCTTCAGTTTCGGACGACATCTGAAACAATTGAAAAAATGCATTACTCAAATATCAGCCACAGGCCTCGAAACGAAAAACAACACGCATCCACAAATACGAGATTTCGTCGCTTACAACAAACTTTGCTAGTCCTCGAAAGGGTTGTTCGACTAAAAGCTATTTTGTGTACGAGCAGGAACCGATCTCATTCACAATTATCGTCATAAGAAAAACAATGGCGAACAATTTGGCGTGAGCACACAATTCCATATAGTACACAAAGGGCGTGAAACATAAACAAATTTGCGGTTACTGGTGCTGAAAGGAATATTTTATATTTGATCCCTTTTTCTTTGGAATTGTTAGGGGTTGCGTTGGGAATTGGGATTGCTCGCCTTATTCTGTTTTCTACCACAAATTGAAAAGAGGCTAGAGAAGGTTTGCATTCTGAAGGACGTCCTTTTTTTAATGTAATTTATTTTCTATTCTAGCCCACGCATGTATTATTCCAACAATGGATTCCCGGCTAATAGAACGCTGTTAATCATGTCCTCAGTTTGCATTCGATTAACGTCTACAACGGCAATAGATATTGGTTTCGACAGATTCAATAGAGAATTTCTAGAATAATAGACCAGATTGTGCAAACAATAATCTATTTAGACGAGAAAACTGAAATCACTTTCACTTTGCGTTATCTCAATTTTAACGTATCTCTCAGGATACGCTTACTAAATCAGGTTATTAAAAGAGAACAAGCGTTTCAATAAGCGAAATGAGATTTAGGTAAAACAGTGAACCCTCAAAATTGTGTTTACGCAGCTTTTGTCCTCTTCAAACCGTTTTGATATGAATTCTTTGGGTCAAAGGTGACGTACATTTAAGTAATAGCACTTTATAATATTACATTTGTACAAGCGTAACATTTACCGTGTCCATTTTCCCTTTGCAAATTCCATAACTTCCCAAACGCTTAAGGCGGGCCTTTAGTCAGAAAGTTTCAATGGTGGTGAGAAATGAGTTTCAAATGTTGACTAAGTACAACACAAAAAATGGAACTTACATCTAATCGTAAGTGAATGTTGACGCTCTGGTTATTTTAACTGTGTAGTTAGTAATTAGTATTCCTATACTCACAAACTAAAGGTAACTGAGATATGTAATTAATCAACTAACAATTACTGACCCAGTTAGTAGAGAGTCGAGGCAATGAAGCATAAAACTCTGACAGACCCGTTTTTCATTATTTTTGGTTGTTTCTCCATAGGTAGATGCGTTTTAAAATCAGACCTAGTTGAACGGTACTATTCCGTCCCTACCGAAAGAGCAAAAACTTGCATGAATTCAAATTTCTTATTAACGCAAGTAAACACATCACGCTCTTTCTAAATTTGGGCCTGGAGTTTTCTTTTGGATTTGGTTTTTATTTTTTAGAATATTCCACATTACCGGTTTCAAACACGATCTTGTGTATACGACAGTGGAAAGATGTCCAGACTTCCAGACGGTCATTATTAATAATCTAAATTGTTAAAACGATTACGTAGGTAGTTGCTAAAAATTTCTAATCGAATATTATACAAACGGTACCACAGGCGAATTGTTTTGAAAACAAAGTGACCACAAAATTAAAACGGTGAAACTTTTCCAACGATTTGTCACTTTTCTCCATCATAATATCATTTAAGTCTTTTTATTTTTATTTTTATACCTTTCGCAGTAGAGACATTGGGGAGCTTGGTGTAGAGAAGCTCGTAATTTTGTGGAATAGCTGGGAAAACGCATTACCAACATTACTGGGGAACCCTGAACTACCACTTACTTACGACAAAGGATAAGTATTGCCATACAACGTAGCAACGCGGCCAAATTGATTATTTATTATGAATTCTTAATTTTTAATTTGTTTAAATAAAATTGATTTATTAATAAAAAAAATTTTTAGGAGAAGCTGTCACACCATTAAAACATGAACAAATTAATTTTGTCAAATTGGCATTTTTGAATTGAGACAGTTTAAATAGTTTACACATTGTATTTAGTTTTAACGTTAAGTCAATATGTACTTTCTGGTTACAAAAGGTCCGGTAGAAGATTTTATTTTTCCGACTTGCTCAAATGGTGAAGAGAGAGAAAAAACCAAAGTTTTCCAATGAGACTTGGCGTCAGGCGAAATTTCAGTGATCAAAAATCAACGAAAACGTCTGACTTTTTTGAGTTTTTCTTAAATAACTCGCCACCGGTAATACTTAGATAAAATCATGTTCTATTCAAAATTATAAAGTTTCTTGTTTTTATCAATTTTTGAAAATAACATCATTTTTTATGTTGTGACGAATGCAGTGCAAAAATCAGAGAGAATAAATTACGCTTATCTATGGACACAAAACGCAAGAATCCTCATGCGGAAGGACCAAGGAACAACAGTGGTTCGGATCTCTACAATAGACCATCTAAAAAAATCTGTAAGCTTTGCTATCTTCTTCACATTATTTATAAGGATGCCTTTGTTTAGTTCAAATTACTTAAAGTACATTAGTCAAAATGTCCTTTTTTCTCTTTTCTTTTTGTTTTTTACATAACTTTGTAAGTATCTACTCAGTTTAAATGAAAATGAGTAATGATTCATTTATAGAGTTCAATACTGTCAATCATGGTATAAGGTTTTTGTGTTTTTCATCAAAATATACCCAGCTTGAGAGAGAATGTCGATAAACTCCTTTTATATTTAAATTCTTTAAAAAAAACTTCCGGAAATAATAATACTATCGGACTGGATTTCAGATTCGGAATTGGGACTTTTCACAATCAAAAATTATAATCAATTTGCTAACTGCAAAGAAACATATAGGGCAGGAGAGGTGATAGTTTTCGTGTTAAAAAAATACGGAAGAATTCATTGACAATGACAACTGCGGACGCAATTAAGTTAACAGTTTACATTGACTGTCAAATAGCTCTGTCTATAATTGCAGTCTATTAATGTAAATATGTTCTTAAGCCAATTAAAAGAAGAATTATCAAAATCTAAGGAGAAAAATCTACTTTTTGTTGGTGTAACTGTAACCGATTATTTACCATTCTCTCCATGATATTTTTACCCACGCAAACTATGTAATCTATTCTTAACGTCTACTTCCTGACGACAAATACTACTTTTGTATTGTTTCATAAGAAACCTAAGGTGCTCGACGGATGATTACAAAGCAATTTATTCGAATTGAATATAAATTTACACGTATCAACCCTTAAAAAGTTAAACTCTTTGATTTATGCTCAACCTAAAGAAAAATAGTTTTCAAACTTGGTTTCCATTTATAGTGAATGTGATGAGGCCGAGAGAGGCCATTTTTGGGATGTTTGGATAAAGATTCCTAAAATATTCGTATTGATTATAAATTCATACGTACTATCTTCTAAAAAGCATTAAAATCTCTTTGATTTATTCTCAATTTCAATAAAAATAATTTTCAAACATCGTTTTCTTTCAGAGTGAACGTAATGGCGTTAACTGAGACCCAGTAATTGGGAGTATGCTTACATAGGAGTGTGTAAAGTATTGGAATTAATTATAAATTTTCGTATATTAGAATTATGGTTTTCCGAATAAGTTTTATGGAAGGATTTGACTCGTATTTCTAGATTTAGCTTTGCGTTACCAATACTAATTTTATTTACAAGTTATAATTTCACATCCACGTGTATGTCCAAATTCGAGTTTTAATAAATTATCATTGGTTCCATTGATCTGTCCGGCGTATACTAATTTGGGGAATGTTTATACAATGACAGCACCTTATCTAAGAATTTGGAAAGTCATTAATGGGTACTACCAAACCATAGGTTTGGCTTTGGTATCATAACAAACTGTGTAGCTCATGGGTAGATCACTTTCGAATATTCTTCCGGTTACTTTCAATTAGGTTTTCCTGTAATTTTCCTAATTCGTAAGGTAAATACCGGAGTCGTAGAGCTTCTGCAGGAGCACCTCTAAAAAGCAATATGCTGGTCGCTCTGTAATTCGGCGAAAACCTGTTGAGGGCCCACTAAAAATTAATATCACTTCGGCGTATTACCAAATCGTGGGAAAATAAGTTAGATTTAAGACGCGGTTAAATATTACAGGGATAACGGCCTCGCGTGGCAGTTGTTTTAACTGTTGCCCAGGTCGATGAAGAAACAGGATAAGGGTTGCTCAAATTAAACATAGTAAATGTAATTTTATTTTTTGTATAACACACTGAAATCAGATTTGGAATTGTTCCTATTCCCCTAAAAAATTCCTATGACATACAAAGTAAAACATTCTGGACAGAACAGCTTCCTAGTTCAAACCAAAAATCGCGCTTTAAAGAGAGTGGGGGAAAAACGTTTCCCGCGAAAGTTTATTATTTTCCGATATAGAATAATAATAATCAATAAAAGTGTAGGTATTTGAAAAAATTAGTTACCCGACACTTTATCCCTAAGGGATAGTTATGTGAAAATATGAATAGCATCATTAAATTGGCCCCTCCATATGAAGAATTGATCTAACTCATTTTTTGAAATTCCCGCTAGTTTCCACAATAATCGACTATATCAAGATAAATGGGGTACCCAGCATAAAAATTAATTAAGTATAACATTGAATAAAATATAAGATTACGGGACTGGTAGTCGCTGCTTACGTTTATGCGGCTAAAACTCAATAAATAAACCCCGGAAACTGATTTCTATTCTAGGTAAAAATGCTTGTTTCAAAAAACTATCGTATACAACGGTTACCGCCGTAAAGGTGGTAACGATATAGCTCGCTATTTATTTTCGTTTGTTCCCAATTCCATTATTATACTCGGGCAAAAGCAAGGTTTGTCCTTTATTAAACTAATAAATAATTCGAATTAGTTCTTGATTGTTGCTCCACGTTATTGCATTACGACTTCCCACGCTTTTTTTTAAATTTTTGTTATGTTTATTAGTTACCTATTACTAAACTAAATTCATTTACTGCCTACAGTCAAGCAACGTTGCCTCCGGTTAGTACTCGTGTATGAATG